TTTGTGTTGTGTATACACACATATATGAACAATATATACATTGTACCTTTATATATAAATATATATATATATAGTTACCCTTGATACCCCCATTAGGATGGAGCTTTGTTGACCAGTAATTGTATAGCTGACTTGATGGTAGTTGGTAAAGCCATAAGAACTAGAGTAAGGTGCTTAATCAGGCAGTGATTAAGTTAATCTCACTTCTTTTCAGAAAGCTGTTCAGAGTGCTAAGTAGACATTTCTGAAAGACGAAGGGAAAGATGCAGTTCAAGATAGAAAGCATCCTGTTTTCCCTCCTTTTCTGGTACAAAGGTATGCACTTTTCCTACTAAGAGGCACTTTCAGCTGTGTATGTTTATATTTTTATTTCACTCATACCTCTTTGTTCTCCCACAGGCTGTTGGGTACAGAATGAGCTCTTCTGTAAATTCTCCTGGAGACATAATTTGTGTAAAGGAAAAATGCTATAGCATTAGATATGCAATTTTTATATATGAGAGATTATTTCTCATAGTGCTGTGAATTCTCAGTAACAATTCTGTTCACCAAACAATTGCACTTTAAAAAGTGGCATATAATATGTCAAAATATAAATTTGTACTGAAGATTGCAATGGAGCTGAGTCACTGGGTAAATAATAATATTCATCTGAAAAATGAGGTATAGTAGAACATGAAGGGTTGGACTCTTGGTAATCAAAACTCTTGATTAATCTAAGGTTGGTCATGACCCCTAACAGCAGGATGTTTCTGCTGAACAAAATTCTCATTTCTCTAAGATTGTTCAGATGTTTTTAAAAACTATTGGAAGGTCAGTCAGACTGGAAAGCTTTCAAAAGTACCACTCTACTGAATAAAAAAAATAGCTGTCTTGAGAAAATTTGAAAAATATTTGTGAGTTTTGAATGTGTCCAATATTTCATGAAGCCAACAATAGTCTAATGTAAACTGGGAGAAGATAACAGTCACAGGTACCCTTCACCCTTAATTAATCCAATACTGCTGTAAGTAGATGATTTTATAGATCATGGATGAACTTCTGACCCCATTGAAGTCAATGGCAATCCCCCTTCTCCCCATGCCCCCATTAACTTCAGTGGAGTAAAGGTTTCTAATTATATCAAGGAAGTCACAGAATATCAGAAGTCACAGATAGAAATGTCATATTAGACAATCCAGTACATTCTTCTGTGAATGCAGAATTATACTTCCTGCTACCTTTTCTGGCTTAACTGGAGGGCTTTTTTTAAATTGCAACCTATTGCTATTAATTATTTTAGCCCATTAAAGCTCATATTCAGTAAAGTTTTCCTACACTTTCCATATCTTAATTTACTTTATTATTTCTAGTTGTGTCCCAGGGTATCACACTAAATGATTCATGTCCATTCAGCTAGTCATAGATTATTATCATGTGTCCCTTGTGGTCTAACTTAATACAGATATACTGTTAGCCTCTGAACTTTCTGGGATTTCTGGGCTTGAGTCATACTTTATTTGACTGTAGCCACGTTCAGGTGTTACATTTCTTGAAGGAGAATCACTATTCTCCTGGTAGAAACTACAAGTATACAAGTGTTCATTCAATTTCTCCCTAGGGAAATATGACCCCTCGGGAGAAAGATCTAGGTGTCAACCTGGCAATTTCCCTTGTAAGGGAAACTGTTTCACAAGAATGAACAACTGTACATTTCCTGAAGCTGTTCTACTGTAATATGGTCTATGTTGCTCTGAATCCCAGCACTACTTGGCTTTTACTGATGCCTAAATTTTTGGGAGGGTGCAAAAATTATCAGTAAAATAAATTTTCACACACAACTTTTTGTACCTCTAGTTCCTTTCTGGCATCTGTTCCTCCAGTATATTCAAATTATTTTGTTTCAGGCATTTGTCCAATTCCTTTAGAATTCCATGCCTCCTTCCTTATTGTAGAAGCTGCTTCCACCATCAGTATCAAAAGGTCAGTCTCGTAAAATAGGAGTAGTGATCCCATGGTAATCAGCTTAACTGTTCTCTCCAGTTTGACAAGTGGCTCAGAGAAGCATTCCCCCTGCTTGTATCTTGTTGGTTGGTTGGTTCCTAAGGTTCCAAGAGTGCTGCAGAACAGCGGCATATGGTGCAGAAGATGAGCTCTTGTTACTAATACCTGAGCAGCTGTTGCTTCCAAATCCACAACAAAAAACTACGCACAGAGCTTTTAATGGACACAAATATATTTTAACATGTTGAATGTGATATGCCTATACAGCATTCTTTTGTCAAGTTCTATATACACGTGAGAGAATGAACATAGCCCTAAATTAAAATATGCATGTTTGTATCTTTTCCTATGGTATTTTTTTAACAAAAAACTTCCCACATTCAAATCACATAAAGATCTCCTTAAATTGCACCCATTCAGTCCCACTACAGTCATTGCATCTAATGAAATTACTATATTGATAATGTACCACAGATGTTCTTCAATACCAAGAAACAATGATGTGAATGTTAAGATTAGAGAAAGCCAACTTTTTCAAATGAAAACTTTTTTGTCAATAATAGTCTTTTTCCAAAGTAAAAAAAATGTGAATCTGTTGACTTTTTCATTGTTATTTGGTTTCTGTATATAATTTAACATACAAATATATTCTTATAAGCAAAGCCACTATTGAGAGCATGTGGTTATTTAAATATCTTAACTTACAAAAAAATGGTAGCCATTTCAATAACTGCTTGGATAACCTTTTTAAAATAATTAAAACTTTTTGTATAAATATTTTTTTGTTAAAAAAACAAACAAGTTCCATTTTGAATTTTCTGATATAGGAATAGCCAACAAATTTGAAACCTTTCGTGGTTTTTTTTTTCCCATTTTTGGTCAGAGGTAGTGACGAAACAATGGAGGTAAAATCCTGGCTCCAATGAAGTCATTAATTTTAACTCAGATGTCTGTGTTTCCCAACCCATATTTTTGTCCCATATTTTTGTCCTACTGACCCAGTTATCAAAAATAATTATCTAAATGATATTAAGAACATTCTTCTCTACTTTGTTTAACTAGAAAGCATAGAGAACAGCTAGAGTAGGTAGTGGGTGGGTCTGCAAAAGATGCTTTACTGCACATTAGACTAACCTAATGCACAGTAACCTGTCACCATTTATATGTGTGTACCAAATACTGCACAGTAGATTAATTTACAAAGCTGTTTGCTATTACCAACAAATATAGGTAGTAGAAAATGGCACTTTAAACTAATGCACAGAAGTGCATATGTGGGCAACTGACTGGGGGCAAACTGCTCTCAGTCAGCTCAGGCAGCAGGGGGCCACAAGCATTGCCTGGCTAAATGCCAAGCCCTGGGGGATGAAGGGAGCCACCCCCCAGCTATGTGGGGATCAGGGCTGGCCCCTACAACTGGAATAGCTCCCCACAACACCCAGAGCCCAGGCCTGACCCTGTGCCCCCTGCCAGCCTGGGGCTGGCACCCAAGGGAGCCTGGATCATAGGCGACTGGTGCCTCCTGAGTCGCGGGGGGGGCACTTTCCCCCCCAGTGGACAGTCAGCCACCAGGGGGGAGTCCCCCCATGGCCAACCCCACTGACCGGCAACTAGCAGCGGTCTGCATCTGGCACTTCCGGGTGCACCACTGGCACTTCTGAGTGAGTGCAATCGGCCACGGGGGGACCGCTTCTCCTGGCGCCCCCACTTCCCGGCTGGTGCTCTCAGGGGGGGCACCAGTGCTCTTGCCTGCCCCCCAGCCCAGGAACGCTGGCTGTCTGGGGGTGCACCAATGCTCTCAGGGGGTGCATATGCACCCCTGTGCACCCCTTATGTGTTGCCACTGGCCTGGATCTTCCCCTGGCTGCCACAGAGGGGCAGAGCAGGGCAGGAGCAGACCTGGACAAGGCTGCTCCTGTTGGGCTCAGTTTGCTCTTGATGCAGGCGCACATGCAGACACGTACCTGGGTTCAATTTAATGCACTTGAATTTTCTGCGTAGAAAATTCAGGTGCATTAATTACACATGTAGACATGCCCAGTGATACTAAAATGAAATAAAACCTATTTCTGATAGGATTAAAAAGCAGATAGAAGTTTAAATAAAGTCACATCTTTCTTTTTTGGGGAAAGTGGTTGGTTCAGGAGATAACTGATGGGATACTGCACCTCTCACCTTTTAGTCTCCGGCTTCAATCCTGTTCTGTCTGACAGGTTTGTAATTAATTAAATTGTTACATTTTTTAGTGACCTATCTGAAATGAATTGGTGGCCTCAAACAGAAAGAGAGGCTCCTTCTTGACCATTGAGCAACCATAGGGATAAGGTTGGGGTGGGAATACCGGAAGTGAAAACGCACAAGACCTGTCCCTGCTACTGGTCAATCTGTCAGCAGGATAATAGATAAGGATGAAAAGATTAATCCACCCCCGCCTTCCCTACCACCACCAGCATCACCACCGTTGCCCTGTATTGGCTGTACTTATCAGTACTTGCCTATTAACATTCTCCATAGAACAGCCAAAAGCTAAATTCATATGAACAGGGATCCTGGTTTTCTTTGATAAAATTTGCCATTTTGGGGGTTAAAAAGTAACCCAAAATCCACATTTTTCCTTAATTAAAATGAAACAGCACTAGCTAGCTAGATAGATAGATGTATTAGTGGTACTTCATTTTAATCACAGAAAAATGTGGATTTTCATTACTTTTTTTAACCTGAAAACTAGGGATTTTTTTATCAAAGAAAACCAGGATCCTTGCATATCAGACTCAGAGTCTGTTTTCAAAGGCGTGACAGGCCAGTTTTTTAAAGATCTCTAGGAATCTAAATACTGTAGATCCACTGCTTGATTTTCAAGTATCTAAGTGCTTAATTCCCAATTAAATCAAGTTATTCAAATCTGTTCCACAGGAGTTACACTCATTTGGCTCCTAAATTCCTAAGGATATGTCTTTAATTCCAGCATTGCAACTCACATGGACATACCCAAGCTAGCTTTAAACTAGTTAGGTTGGATCCAGTCAGGAGTATAATTGTTTGCCCCTGAGGGATGGGGAAAACATCTGGAGAGGTTTTGCAACCAAGGTATTTGTCATTTCTATTGGTTATTATGTAAAATATTTATTTTCTATTTGGGGTGTAAGCTGGTGTGCAAAATCACATTCCTTGTCTATGTAGCTGGTGATATGGTAGCTGGTTTATGTAAAACATAAACAAATGTGTTCTGCTGTTTTACTCTGTGCAGTTGTCTTTCTGAAGTTGCTGGGCAAATTCTAAATGGTGTGCAAAAAGAAAAAGAATCCCTTCTGCCCAGTGCATGAGGGAATACA